TTGATATTTGAGTTTTCACGGGAGATTTACTCCACCATGAACTGTCTGTCTGTCTTGGTATAATCCAGTTAATTCTGTCTTGTTAGCATTCAGTTATTCTATTCAATCATGGAGAGTAGAATCTAATGGTTCAGACTATTATAATGGGTGATTACATACACTCTCGCTAAACACCTTGCCTTATTAAAAGAAAAGATGCACCGACCCTAGATGAAACTTGAAGTATGCTTAAAGCGGATAGAAAACAAGATTTAACATCTCAGAAGATTCCCCTACTCTTTGCTTCAACTGAATGTTAGTAGTAGTAAAAAATGGTCAACTTTGAAGTGTACGTTAAAGATGTTACTTTTGGATACCTGGATAGACTTTATGATAGTTTTCAATTAGCCAGCTAGGTTGATGTGTAACTAGTTTGTTTAAGCTGTTAAGCAACACCATTACGAATCTTAAATAGCAGTTTTATAGTCAATTTTATCCCCCAAAATTTTTTTGTTGGTCGAAACATTTTACCATTTAATAGAATCTCATCCATTTTACCATTACTAGAAGATAGCATGGTCTCAGATTTGAAGAACAAAAACTTTCCAAATTGTACGAGCTGTGAGATTGTGAAAATTATAGCTAGATGCACACATTCAGCTGCACTTAACAGTTATTCATGTGAAAAATTACTGAAACCTACATCTGTCTATGCAGAAATTGTTTCTTCACTTTTCTCTGAGGTCATGTTTTACATTGGCCTTGCGACATATCTTCGGGTCACTGATAGCGTTCAGAAGCCATATCTACAATTCAGTGCAAAGAGATGGAGCCTCATAACTGGGCTTAAGGGATATATAACATCTGCTTTCTTTGTAATGGGGTTTAAGATTTTTGCCCCACTCTTCGCTCTTTATGTTACCTGGCCTTCACTTGGCTTCCCAGGCTTGGTTGCAGTGGCTCCTCTTTTGGTTGGCTGTTTGGTACAGTATTTATTCGAGAGATTCCTTGATAGACACGGATCATCTTCTTGGCCCTTGGTGCCAATTATTTTTGAGGTATGCAAACTGTTATTTTTCCTTTTCTTTTCGGGGCAAAGGCAAGTCAACATAGGACTGAGGATTTCAAATCTTTGCAGATTTATAGGATATATCAGTTGACAAGATCCGTCCATTTTGTGGAGAAGTTGATGTTTTCTATGAGCGGAACTCCTGTCACCCCCGAGTTGTTTGACAGAAGTGGTGCATTGGTTGCTATGATAGTGACTTTCCAAGTTTTAGGAGTAATGTGCTTATGGTCCTTGCTTACATTTCTTCAAAGGCTCTTTCCTTCCAGACCTGTTTCTGAAAACTACTAATCTTTGTAGATGAAGATATTGATCTTTTCTCTCTTTTGCTTTGTAGAAACTTAAATTTGCATCAGTTTAAATTATCTAGTGCAGTATCTAAGTCTTACTGCCACTACTTTTCTGAGCTAAATAATAGAGATATACCTTAGCTTTCAGTTTATCAATTAAGGTTTTCTTTTACTGATTTGTACATGGCAGAGGAACTTTAGTTTATCCTGGTAAATTTTAATTAGATTTGGCTGCTCGATAAATACAATCTTTGAATGAAGCACATGAATCTGTCTCATACATGATCAATTTGTCCAAAAAGCAAATTGCTGTGCCTTATTTTAAGTTGTCAATGGAGAAGTTACATGTTATGATTTGGATCAATGAGACAAATGCACCTGAAGATAAAATGTGCTACAAATCTGATCTTTCTGTATAATTAATCTGTTGAATAATTCATTTTCCAAGAATAAGACTTTAACCTAATCAAACCAGGAGAAGGATTTTCTCAAGAAATTAAAAGAGGTGAAGGTTTACATTGGAGTTCAACTTGAAAAACTTCACAAAACTCCTTGACTAAAGATTTATGAGTAACATCGATAAGCTGGACATCATCTAGGTTTTCTGTACCACAGCCATTAGAGTGTGAGTGCTCCCTCAGCAATCCCTTTATGCTTCCAACTTGACGGTCACGGATCCCACATGGAACTATCTGTTGAAAGGGTGCCAGATCTGTGGTGACATTGAGAGCCAGGCCATGATAGGTGACCCATTGAGATACTCGAATGCCAATTGCAGCTAATTTCTGACCCCCTGAAAGAAGACAGTGTTGGATCAAATATTACATCCCTTCAATCCACAAATCCAGTACGACCAAACGGTTGATCAGTTTAATACTGTAACCAGATTTCAAATATGGCCGAATGCACTATGCAGGTCAAGTCACAAGTGCCATTCATATACACCCCTAGGCACATGGGAAATCTTCAAACAAGAAATATCTTATGAACTATCAACTTAACAAAAGGTTTTCTAAAACCATAACGCCCAAGTCGTTTTCAGAAATATCAGATAATACCACAGAAAAAGACTGATACGGCCAACCAAATGATATGGAGAATCAGTACTTACCAACCCAAACACCGGTTAGGCCATCAATTCTTGAAGCCTCCATAGAAAATGATGAAGAAAGAACTCGTATGATCACCTCCTCAAGGCTCCTGAGGTACCAATGAAGGTCCATCTTATGATACCGAAGATTGATGATGGGGTACATAACTAGCTACAATTTCAGATAGAAGCAATTTTATGTCAGAAACGTAACAGCTTAAACAAACACCCGAGTTATCCTAATCCCACACACAAACAGCCACCCAATGAAGTATAACACACCAGTCTTGTCAAAGCCACATTTGATTCGGGACTTCGTAAAATCTCTTGCCAATCATAGCCCATCAAAATATCATATTTACTGATACTTCCCCTTACTTTGCAAGCCGTTGAACCAATGACATCAAGCACTTAAAAAAAACCTATACACTTGGCTAAACTACGAAAACAAGAACAGTATAGCAGGGTAAGTAGGTAGCAACAAGTGAAATCAGAAATGTACCTGACCAGGGCCATGGTAAGTAACTTCACCACCACGTTCTGTTCGATACAATTCAAAAGGAGCCTTCTTTACATCAAAATGTATATTCTCTTCAGAGCTACCAGTACCCAACGTATAAACCGGCTGATGCTGCAACACAATGAGTGTGTCAGCAAGATCCTCATTCCTTTCAATTTGTGCTTTCCTCTCATCAACAATAGTCTTTTGCCAGGACCATGCTTTAGCATATGGAACTAACTCTTTGTACATATCATAACAATCACAGCTATAGTCAAAACAGAGTTAATCAACTGAAAAGCCTTAAATTGCACAACAAGTGTTTGTCAAAATGTCAACAAGAAAATCTCACCATCTTTTGGCTTGACAGCTTGTCAAAGTCGGGCTTTTGAGTATAGCTGTACTAGAATGTTCCTTAATCTTCGATGGGTTTCTCAGTTTCCATGGCGGAATTGAACAGAACATCGAATTTGTGAAAACAACCATTTCTGATAGTTAATAGACTGTAAAAAAATGTAATCAAAAGATTAACTAGATTGGATATTTCTGAAGAATCTTTTTAAGTGTTACCTTAATGGATCTGAACTGAATATGAAGTTATGAACCGAAGATCACGGCTTCTTGTGATCGGTAACCACGATTTAATTTATTGATCTATTTTGACTTGCCAAATTATGAGTAGTTTGATTGGCTTAAAAATTTATCAAATTTATTATTTACACATTTTTAACTCGTTGACAGTTTGTCAAAGATAAAATTAACTCACAATGAGTTTAAAAAATAAATTAAAAGTAAGTATTTTCATACTTTTCATCATTAATCTAATGCGAAAAGTTTAAATTCAATTAATGACATTATCCTGATCGAATTATAATTATAAAAAATAATTTAGCATAAACAAAATTAGTTTTTGTTAACAAATAATTAAACGGCTGAACTTTTTCTTGAAAATAATAATAGATGAACCAAACATTTAACGAATATTATAAAAAAAAATTCTCTTAAAAAGACAACGTTTTTAAACGTGCAAGTCCTCTTAAATTTATAATTTTGATTTGAGATTATACTTTATTTATGTAAAATAAGTAAAATTTTAAATCAAATTTTTTAAAATGTATTATTTTAAGTTTAATTAGTGCTTTCAATATTGAATCTTATTTTTTTTAACAACATAACGACAAATATTCTACTATAAGAAAACATAGAAATATGTTATTTATTAATGTAGTACATCAAGATGTTCCGATATCTTATATATGAAGAATGAACTAATATAATTTACACAATTGCTAAGAGACTGCGTAGAAATTGAACAAGTTTTGACAATAATTTCTTTTTATAATTATGAAATGTAACTTAAAAAATTTAAATTACATGTTCAAATAAAATTTAAAGTTGATTTAACGAATTACAAACTTCATAAGTAAGAAGTTGAAATGTCTATACTAATATAATGACCATCTAAAATGTATTAACAAATTTTGTCTATTTGAGACTCCTTATTGATTTGCTCAATGTAACAAAGCTCTCAGCGACTGCTACTTTTAAATTCAACGAACATACTCATTTGTCACGTTACACTTTTTAAAAGTTAATTTAATTAATTTTAAAATTAAATTATATTACATTAATTTGATATAAATAAAAATTTAAATATATAAAAAATATTATAAATTACAATTTTTTGCACAGTGTTTATCAAAATTTCTTATACTGTTGTAACTATAAAAATAGAAACCACGACAAATAATATAAATCATTCTTTCCATGTTCTAAAATTGCTAAATACTTTACTATTTGTCTGGACCAATAGAAAATGGGGAAAATGCCACGTGTTCGGAGGAGAATGCTTATGACCCTACACGCTAAATGTAAAAATATCATTGAAAATTTCAGAACATGCATGCACCTTTTTGCCTACCTCTCCAAAGAAAAGTTTTGGAGAAAATAGCCAAAATAAAGGTCACACACATTTTTAGTATTATTTTTTCACTTTACGACAATACTAACTAATATACCACGAATCTTCTGCACTTTTTTTCCCCCATATTTTAGCATATATAAATATGAAAAAATACTTGCTCAAAAAAAGTAAGAGAGAAAAAAATAAATAAAAATGGCGATAAATGGTAGATTGTTACGTACCTCTAAGCAAATGGGCTTAGGTAACAATATTGGTGGCCAGAATCAGTATTATTCTTTGACGAATAATTATTCGTTACGATTTAAATGTTTGAGTAAAGGTAGACTTATTGGCGGAGCAGAGAAGAAGGTAGTAGTTGTAGCAACTAAGGCTGTTGGTACTGCGGTTGTATCTGAACCAATTACTACACAAAATTGGAAGATTTCAGATGTAAGTTTAGTCGCAGATAATGTATCAGATCTCATATTTCAAAAATTGAAAAATTTACTCAAACAAATGCCGCAGAAATTGCATCATTTACAGTCCTCCATTGAAAAGGTGTGACTTTTCTTTAATTTTAAGTCTTAATTTATAATTGCTTATGGTAAATATGATTTGTGTAATCACAGTGTTGAAATTATTCCAAGTATTACTTGCTGGAGTACAATTTTTTTCCTATTCACTAGCCGAGACTAACACATATCCAATAATTACATCACGTATTTGATTTTGACAGATTACTAAACTTGTTGAGTTTTTTCTCTTCAGGTACCTCAACGATGTCATTTTCTTATTGAATCATTGAACCACCCATAATTTCTTCCTATAGTAAATGCCTTCAATTGTGTTCGTATTATAATGATTTTGATTGAAGAAATGAGTCTCATTTGTTTTTCTGATGTGATCAAATAACTTGAAGTGAAACACAATTATTCTCAAACAGTTTCACTATCAATTGGACTAATGAGTTTTGAAAATCTTCTATCAATATATCTTACAAAATTTGGTTCCACATCAGCCAACAGTGAACAAATTATGAATGGTTCAACGAATCAATAGGAAAATAACATAGTTGAGGTACCTGAGCAGATAAAACTCAACAAGTTTTAGAGATTTGTTTATGTATTTGGCCTTTAAACAGATCAAGTTTGTTTTTTCCATTTTTTGATTGGATATTGGAACTCTGTTTTGCAGGGTATTTTGGATTGCCGGTTCTTCAGTCTTTTAGCAGTTGCAGGGACATTGATTGGTTCATTATTATGCTTTATTGAGGTATAATATATTAGTACTAATTACTAGTATTATTATTTTATCATGAAAAAAAATCTGATTTTATGCAATTTTAAGACTAATAAATATTCTCAGGGTTGTTACTTAATCATAGAGTCATACATCCACTATTTTATCGCAATCTCACATAAATCAGACCTTGGACATGTAGTGCAGCTATTAATCGAAGCTATCGGTATGTTTTCCCTCTCTTAAACGTTAAAATTATTAATCGAGAACTGAATGAAACAATTGTTTACATTATCAGCATAAAGAAGTTAAACTGTAACCGAATAACGTTCTTTTTTTTTTTTTTTCAGATATGTTTCTATTGGGGACTGCTATGCTTACATTTGGAATGGGATTGTATGTCATGTTTGTGGGATCAAGAAATATTAATGTTAAAGGAGATGATGATGATCAATTGTCAGGCAAAAAGTTGTATTATTTTCAAACACTTCCATCATTAATGGGAATGAAATCAGTAATGCAAGCAAAAGCAAGAATAGGACATGCACTTATAATGTTACTTCAAGTTGGAGTATTGGAGAAGTTCAAGAACATACCTGTGGTTAATGGATTGGATCTTGCTTGTTTTGCTGCTGCTGTTTTTGTTTCATCTATTTGTGTTTTCATTCTTTCTAGGCTTGCTGCCACTAACACAAAGGCTGGAGACTAAGAAAAATGCACATTTTTACACTATATGTATAAAGCAAGAAAAAAAAATTATAAGCAAAAAATAGGTCTTAGGACTTGTTGTAGTTGGCCTTATTATTTAACATAAATATTCTTTCAATTTGTAACAATTAAATACATTTGTTCATATGTGTTCTTGTATATTATTGAATTAGTAAATGAGTTTCTTTGCACCTGGTCAATGAACTGATTGAGAGTCGTGCAGCTTCAAGTTCAAATTCCAGCAGAGACAAAAATAATAGGTACACTACACAAAGGGGTAGTTTGTATAGAAATGTTACTCACTCTAGACACAACATAGTGCTAAGTTTTCACATACAATTGAGTAACTAAATATCCAATCAAATACTTTACATGATAGTTTACAGCAAATCTTGCACTAATTCAAGAGAGCTAAAAATTTGGTGCTTCACATTTGATAAAACTCACCACAATTTTAACAGTGTACGTAGGTCAACAAAAGAATTATAAATAGGTTAAAAAAAAGACCCTCCTAAAGAAGGCTAGTTTGTTCAAATGCACAACATACCATCACTGCATTTTTCTTCTTTCGTACGATGAAACCTTTTCGGGCTCTCTCTATCCCATTCCCACCAGGGCTTCGAAAAAACAGTGCCCTTTGAATTCTGAAGAACAAATAGGAATATGCTAATCCTATCTGATCTCTCTATTGAATGTCATTAGCACATATCACAGAGGAAGCAAATATGCTTGAAACTTGGAGAAAGACTGGGTGTTGTTGTTTCGGCTATCCATTCTCGTGCAAACCAAGAATATACATCAACCTGTTAGAGGCTTTGCTTTTCTTATGTGACCCATGCTATTGACGAGATCCTTGCGTGTACAAACAGGAAACATGTTGATATTCTTGAACTCTTTAAACCGCCAAAGGACATATGGAAAACTCAGTTGATCACGGGATGTAAAGCGAACCACCTCATTGAACCATAAGCACATGAGCAGATTAGTTGATGGGGTGTGCTCTCTCACAATAATTGAAGCCTCAGATAGAGCTGCACCGATATAGTGAGTGTGAGAATGATTTACCGATTAAAATACAATCATCTCATTTGAACAATTTTGGAATAGCAGTACTATAATTATGCAGTGGATAACAATCACGGTATATGCTTCACTTCAGCTGACAAGGACGAGAAATTCTACCTTTTTTCCCATTGAATCTCTTATCCTCGGGGAGTCCATCTTGACGGTACTGAGCTATCTGCACGGCCACTTCCTCTGGAGTGGCTTTATTTTTCTTGACAACAGCCTTTGCCTCATCATACACACTACTCCGAGCTCCATGTTCCGAGATTGCTAGTACAGAGTTTGAACGCCAAAGCAGAGCCTCCAACACACCCAATGGATCCCTCCTAAGTTGGGACTTTGAGTCTACCCAAATGGAATATCTAGAATTTGGAAAGAGACGATGGGCCAGCATCTGATTAAATTAGACATGGATTAAATACTCATAAATCATTTCGCTAGTAAAATATTCACAATCGTACTGATGCAACCCTCATACTTCTAAATCTTAAGAGGATGTATTAAAAGACAACAAATTTTCTTTTCCAGACATTTTTAATCTTCAAAATTGGTTCATCATTCCAATTTGCTTCATCACACTTCAACTTTGTAAGGCACCATATTTCTCGACGACTCATGGAGAAGAATATCGGGAGTAGGACAAGATTGCTAGAAGTTCCACTTTAAGTATTAGGATATGTTCATTGTAAAATGGAAAAGCATACAAGAAATTGAGGAATCGGGCAACAAGCATACCTTTGGGATTTTACCATTCAACCTTTGGTCTGTGAATGGTAGATTCTTAACCAGGATGATGCGCCACTTTCCGATGTAACGGTCATCACCAACTTTATGACCATCTGCCTCTTGTGATGCAAGTGTAATTTCATCCCAAAAAGCCACAAAGCAAACCTGCATCATTTAATTTTAACTACATAAATTAACTAAGGTGTCAAGCACCACTTTAAATCTCCAAACCAACTACATTGTGATTTAATTGTAATTTTACATAGTGGAAACTTTAGACCGGAAATCAATCATGAGCATTAAAAATCCCAAAAAATAACCTTCTTGAGAGATGACTCTGACATTCCTATAGGTTGATAGAGATCATCTCCACCACCAAATGCACAAGTTGACACCACAGCTTTGCAGGATTCCATATAACTTCTATCTTCAACAGAAATCCTAAAGCCTCCTTTATCACTGTAAAAACCACAGTGGATGGATGCACCCGCTCCTTTCACCTGAGATAATGCTTAAGCAAAATTGTCAAAAGAAGAAGAAAGAGAAATACATAAATTATTTCACAGATAAATAGGTGATCACCAAAAAGCAAGACGCGGGTCGACAACCTTAAAACTTTCATCCCTTTGCTTGAGAGTTTGGTTTCCTGTGAATAAATTAAATCTTGACGCCCCCGAGTGTTGCTCAAATGGCATTCCATCATCTAGAGAAGCAGGATTGGCCTCTGTGATGTATACCACCTGTTTAATAGGATCGGCAGGTACTTTATCCATGGGGAAATCAAGATGCTCAAGTCCTTCAGCTGGTAGTAACTTCAAGCAAGCTGCGAATCCATGTTATGTTACACAGTATTGAAGACAATGGGTCAAACAATATAGCACTTTGACAATTGCTATGTAATTAACCACAAAGCTGTGCTGAATACAATAGTTTTACCCCAAGAAAAGCCAAATGATCTACTCATATGGCAAATAGATCACCTTAGTACCAAATTTCTGATTCTTTCTATATCTTAGATTCTCATATAGTAACTCCTAGAATCATTTGGATTTGATTTTCTCGTGATTGATAGAGAACTTGACTACACAGTCATTTGTTCTACTGGAGGGAGAGAATGTAGCTTGAGATTGGTTCATTTGGTCAACTTTTTGAGGTTTGGCTTCCTAATTAAAGTATATTTGGGGTAAGCAGAGAACAGAGACTAGATCCAATTGTCATGCCCTTGAGAAAATTCAGTTGCTAGGTGAATGAAAAAAATAACCCTTCAGATGCCTCAGACGAAACCACCTAAAGGGTTGTTAATGAAAGCTGAAGAGTCCTATCGGCTTTTATGAAGAGGCAAGGAGTTATAACTGCTATCTGTGTTTCCAAGCAACGCAGCCGTTAACATGTTCTGGCTGACAAAGGTTACATATTTAGACAGATGCAGTTCCAACCAGTTCCGTCAGGCTACTTGATGAGCATATTCTTTTTTGTACAAGTATAGTCTCTTTCTTCTAAGAACAAATCAAGGTTATTTAGAACACAAGGAAGGGTACATTTATATCTTCACATAGAGAATTTAATTATCTCTATTTTGAGTACAGATCATTTTAAGTCTCTCCAAGGCAAGTATATGCATCTCAGTGTACATAATGAAGACAACTGTTGTATTGACCAAAACAATTCTTTAGTGTTCTATTCGTTTGAAACACATTTTTATTCTCAGAAAGACAGTTGCAACTGAATTTTAACTTTTTAGTGTTCTATATGGATCAGTATCCCAACTCACAACGCTCAGCCCTCTTTCTATGGAGGTCTATCCTGTAGAGATGCTCAAATTGGATCATGAACAATTTCTAGCTTGGTAAAGTCCAAGGGATATCGTTTCGGAGTGGAAGATTCTGAATAAGGCAACTGAAATAGTAAGGACCAGATTTTTATCATTGTACTAATACCTAGCATTAGATTCATCAATTTATAGATATAACAATCAGTATCATTCATAAGTTCTAATCAGATACTGAACAAAAGACTACAGACATGCATATTTCAAGCAGGCCAATCCTAAAATAACTACAAGCTGTGAAATTCAATAATGCAAGTAATGTGCACATTTTACATAAACTGCTATCATAGCAAAAGGCAATTAGGCACTAAGATAATTTAGATCATATTGCGAAAAGAAACTCACGTTCTCTAACTCCATGCACGACATGAGTCACTAGATCAAGGCGATTCAAGTTCGTCGGCGGTTTCTTCTCAACAACCTTATCAGTTTTATTTCCAGTCACTGGATTCGAATTTTTAACAACCGAACTAGGTCTTCTTCCAATTCGAGAGGCTTCAAAGATAAGAAGACCTGCTGCAAGTAAGAATAGCAGAAAAGGCCACCACCTAAGGAGCTTTTTCAGGACAATATGAGAGAAACCAGTTTTGCCTCGGAGGGCATATTTCTTTCTCTTCCTACGAGCTCGTGCCCTAAGCTTGTTTGCAAATTCGTCGGGCTCGTCGTCGGAGACAGTAATGGAGACACTGTTGTTTAACATCGACGACGATGACGACATTGAACGGCGGCGACTAGACGGAGATTAAGCAGTGCAGTCGAGACGACGTCGTCAGTAGCTTTCTGTATGATCCTTGATCTACTAATTTTTTTCTCAGCATGGTATTAGCTGACCGACGCATTTATTTTTAACTTGTGTAATTTTCTTTTTAACTCTTATATTAAAAAAATATTTTATTTATTTAATTGTCCATTTTAAAAAACAACAAAGTTTTTTAATACTTCCCTTCGTATTAAATAGTCAAAGATGACTCTAGTAATCGAATTTAAAATTTTAAAATATTATTATAATATTAATTTAGTAAAAAACTTTTTAGTTAGATTTTTTTTAAAAAAATTGTATGAGTCAAGTTGTAAGTAAATAATATCACACAATTGAAACAGATGAATTACAATTTTTTCATGTATCCATTTATAGGTAATCGGCATCAAAAATTCTATTTAGTATATACATCTTCAAATTTCATGGACTCAACGCAGAATTAAAAAATCTAATACATTTCGCTTCAAATGGCTTAATACGAAACACAATGATTGTTTAGATGACAAATATCTTTTAGATTTTCAGAAACTTATTGTGTCGAATTTTCATTCCAAACTTGAAAAAAAAAAAGGTAAAAAGATATAGTTTTAACGATAAGTGTCATCTCGTTGTCGTTGTGGTGGAAATCATCATTTTGAGTTTGGTTATCTCTAATAAGCTTCTTTGTTTCTTCTTGTGTTTGCTTTCCCACGGTTGTACAAAGGATTTATAACATTTACGCAATAATAAGGATTACTGTAATTTTAGAGTGAATTTCAGACGAATATGAAATTAACAGCCGTCCTATTTTTTTTTTTTAGAGGAGCTACAAAGATAGTACTCCAAGCAAAACCAAAACCAATATCTTTTTTGTACTATTAACTCAAGAAATATTACATGTTATTCTACTCCTAAATCCTAATTTAAGTTTTCAACTCATTTGAAAGTATTGGTGCAAAATCTATTCCACATTTTGCATAGTTGATTAAAATCTACTCTACCTCTACCATCTTTCTTGTAGGAACCATTGCAGTATTCTCATATTTCCCACATCGAAACAAACAAATAAGTCAACAGCTGAGAGGAGCCTTAAAACGAAAAACCCATCTATGAACTAAAGCATACCTTTCTCGGCCTTTTGGCTAAGATCAAGTGTAGTATCTGTTCTTATCAGTTTAATATCTGATATGTGGATCATTGATCCACACGATATTAACTCAATTTTTTAAGGGGGAAGATCTATTAAAGTAGCTTGCTACTTGGGTCTTCATGCGTCGCCTGGGCGTTGCACTACAGCCCAGGCCTGGCACACCCCACCAAATCAAGTTCAAATTATGTAGTTATGGTCAAAGATTGACAAAAACTTATTGTACAACCTAAGTAAACTAAAATCTTAGAAGAATACAATTGAATTGATTGATAGTGTTTAAACAACAAGTTGGAAGAAGCATCAAGCCAGAACAACGCGATCCAAATGATCAACGTTCAATGCAACCTGCAGTCGCGCTCAATAGTAAAGAAGCATTACATAGTATATCTGTACCTACCTATAGTTCTGATGCTTTTTCCACACCATTGGATCTATAACGAACTATTGTATGAGTTGCTTGTTGTAAAGGAACTAGCAAATCGTTGTCAATGCACTCGTACCTGGAAAAAAAAAAAGAAGCCAAATTGAGTAATGTAGTTGGTGCTGCTGTAAATTAGATGTGTAATTTACACTCACAAGTTTTTGCAGAGGTCATCAGTTACTGTGGAGAGAGTAATAATCTTCATTCTTGTCTCAACAAGCTTATCTTCAGCATAGCTACCAAATGGCTCTTCCAAGAACATTGAAAGCCTTTCGATATTTGTTTCAAGTTGCTGCTGTTGATCCTCAAAGAGGTTCTGTTTTATTTCGCGTTCTTCTTTTGTTATTTCATTTGCAAACAGAGCTCCAAAATAGTAGTATGCAAATGGATAGGAACAGGCGAGAACTCGCCTTGATAAGGCGAGTCTATAAAATCCACTCATTGCCCAGCTGAAATCTTTTAACTGGAACTCCTTTGATTCAAGGCTATGGACTTTATCAAGTATTTTTTGCTTCGATTCAGATGCTTCAATCTTCAACGAACCAATATGAGCCTTATAACGACTATAATAGTGAGTAAGACGCCAATAGTCCTCTACAGAATCCTCCTCACTTTTCAAATGATTTTCTTTGTATCTGCCACAAGTGTGACCTGCTATACTATTCCATGTGTGTTCAAATCCAGTAGCTTCACCACAGAGCCAACTACGAACAACAAAACAAAATCTTAAACTTACGGCTAAAGCTGCATATTACAAGTACAAAAAAAACTCAAATTCACAAGTCTTACCAAAATGGCTGTCCACATATACACTGTACCAGGTTGCATCCTCCATCCTTCTCCACAATTTTATGACATTTTGGACAATGCTTAGTTTTCTCTGATAACCAATTGACAGTGGGAGCTTCATCGTCGCACTTCTTAAGCCAAAGGTCCCACATAACACACGAACAAGGTGAGTGCAGTTCGCACAAGCAGTTAAAACAGAATTGCTGACCACATGCACATTCAACCTCACAGTACTCGTCATCCTCAACACGAATTGCATTTCCACAATGAGGAACACTAGGGCACCATTTAACCCTCTTATTATCCTCGATATATGATTCTAGGATAAAACGATCAAACTTCTCTGCCAAATTAGGATCCTTTGCAGTGACTAAATCCCTAATCTTTCCTTCATCACATATCGCTTTGCATTTCTGAGCCATGCATGTTACACGTCTACTCTTACCATCATTTATCTTTACTACGAAATACTCTGTCCAACCTAGGTAAAGACAATGAGAAAAAAAAACAACTTTTAGGCTATATCATCCGTAAGTAAGAGTGAAAAGACTCGTGAACAAGAAGAAATTTGATCAAAATGAAGGATAGTAGATGCTCACAATCATTGCAAAACCTATGATTGCATTCCATCAACGTCGTTTGCTCATCAGGGAAATCCTCAAAGCAAATTTCACATGTATATTCGGTTGAGGGGTCGGAGGAAGGATTCTCATTTTTCTCCTCTAGTGTTATACCAGCTTCTACAAACAATCTTTCTTTCCCTCTTTCAACAAAAATTGCAAAGACCTTATCGACATCCCATTGATAATGAATAAGCAACGTTCGTGCATGATGTTCTTTCAGAGAAAGCAAGTCTACTACTCTCTGTAGATCTTCTTTCTACAAATTTTATTGAAATGATTCACATCTCTAACACTAGTATAAAAGAAGTTGAAAACAAAGAAATCGAGACACAAAATGTAGCTAACCTGTGCTGCTAAAAGGGATTCTTTCTTTATTACCTACAAAATCCAAAAATGAGGACTCAAATCATCACTTAAAAAGACACAAAACTACACACAACTTTCAGCATATAAGTACCAAATATCACATAATTGAAAGGCCAATTTGCTTTCCCCGTTTTTCGTCAATTAGTATTTGCATCCAAGACTCTTCATGCCGTCATACAAGTGTTTTTTGTGAAGTGTAAAAGAACTTACCTTATTTCTATGCTTTAAATCATAGTTCTTTTGCAACTATCAATGGTAAAATGGAAAGAGTTTGAAGTTAAAACTAATATACTCCTTACGTTGCAATTTCTTTATCTGGTTTTGACTTGACACAGTTATAAAAAAGTAAAGAAAGAGTTTTAAATGTATAATCTTAAACTAAAGATATGTAGAATATACCAAAATATCTTTTAATCATATGATTTTAAACAACTCATGTGATCAAGTTGGAATCAAAAGTTGCCAAAAGAAAAAAGAAAGAAACATTTTCTTGAAATAGACTAAAAAAGGAAAAGTAAAACAAACAAATTGAAACAAACAGAGTAGAACCCGAGAACTTGATTTTGATCAAAAGGAAAAACATATCATACCCTGCATGAAGGAGCTTTGCCACAAGATAAATCATCATCAGATTCGGGTTCCGGGTCACGATCATAATCATCCTCGTATTCTCCATTATAGTAGTCTTCATCACTGCCATATATGTCATCCATATTTATGACAACCCAAAAAATCAAAATACCTCAAAGTTGCACAAAAATGGAAACTTAGAAAAAAAAAATTAGAATGGGATTCTGCACATTCTCTTTTTTTAATTCGTCACCAATATTGATTTTTTTGGAGGGGAAAGCAAGTAACCCCTCCAAAAAAGAGATAAATTTTTTTTTTTACTGTTATTAGTTTCCTAAAGAGAAAAAAACAGAGTGATTTTGATTGTTGTGATATTATTGGCCTTATATAGTTTCTTCGTTTAGTGGAGCTCCTTGGTCATTGGTTAACCATTTAAAACTTTTTATATTAGGGTGAAGGTGGACCGTAAATAGTGTGAAGGATAAAGATAAAAAAAAGTAGAAGAAAAAGCCCTTAACCATTTAACTCAACAACTAATTCTTGCCTATTAACCTTTTTTTTAATTGTGATTAGATTTTTTTTTTTAATAATATGGTTAAATGAAGTAGTGTTAATTATTATAATGGTAACATGGAAGTTTGGGGAGTAAAAGATATCGAGTTGGAAACTTGTCTTAAGCAACTGTTTTTTTGGTATTTTCCCCAAATTTGTAGAAGAAGTTTTGTACCTAAATTGCGGCAAAAATGGATTTGGACTAAAAGCATTCACATTTTGTTGTTTTCAACGAGTGGACAAAGGGTTCCTTTTTTTAGGCACAAAAATCTCCAGAATTATATTAAACATTGAACAAGAAACTAAACTCAAAAAATACCATCAACAGAACAAATTGTAATTCTGAGTAGGGACTAATACAAAATTTTTACAAAGAAGCAATTGAGGATGATAATTCAGAAACATTTTCTCATCTTCAACAGTCAAAACAGATCATTGATATGCTCTTTTTTCCCAATCTGGGTCAATAAACCACCAAATCTGTGAACCAAAAGTAGAAAACGGATTACAAACACAAATATTGGATAACACCTATGTAAATCCTCATTCAGTTTTTTTGCTTAATCTATCTTTAACTCACTACAACTATAACGCATGACGATTTTACATACCTTTCTACCAAATGCTGCCACAGTGAGTAAGTACCAACCTGGACTGCGAAAGCAAAGAATTAGAAGCTCTCATACATGTGTCCTTCAGTGAAATAGCGCACAAAGAAAAGAAGGAAAAGATAATATTCAGAGTGTAACCTCAACGCTTGGAAAATTGTGGACGCTTGCGAGCCTTCTTGAGACCAACTTTCTTCCGCTCAACAACTCTGGCATCTCTAGTTAACAGACCCTCCTCCCTCAATGGTTTTCTATGGCTCTCGCTAACCTTTAGGAGTGCACGAGCAATGCCAAGGGAAATTGCTTGAGCCTGCCCAGAAAGACCACCGCCTTCCACCTTGACAAAAATGTCATAACTAGCCTCATATCCTAAAGTGGCCAGTGGAGTTTTGACATATTGAATCCATAATGGATTTCCTTGAAGATATTCCTGCAAATCATGACATACGTCAAATCTCATATAGTCAAAAGCAACAAAGTGATGAATAAAAGGATAGCATAAAAAAGGACGCAGGCAGCGTTAATCAGAATGTTGATGATTTGCATCGTCGGACCTCGAGTATAGAGACCTCAATAATATTAAAAACACTTGTGTGGTTCCTTATCAAAAAATAACAATTCTATTCACATAGCAACAACACAAAAATTTCACACACCTTTTGGATCTCGGGAGTTTTCCAGTCTGCTTAACACAGGTTACTTCTTTATAAGAACTTAGCACATCCTACTTATCTAATTTGATTGTTCCTCTGCTGCCATGCTTTTATTTACGGAACTTGAAACGGAGAAGTTGTGTTCCTCTCATGGTTCTGTTATATGCACCACTGATCCACAAAAATAGTTTATGCATGCATTTCCCAAGAAACTCAAAGGTATCAGCAGTATGCTTCCTGCTTCTATGTTCTATTTGCTTTTCAAGGCTGGATTTTCTACTTTACGATCTCTATACACTTTTAACAGAGTTTTCCCTCGATAATGAATTTCATCACACAGAACATTATGAAGTACGATATGCCTTTCTAAAGCTTTCTAGCTACATTGATTTGAAGTGACCATTTTCAGCAACCAGCAACTTCTAAAAGAGACATATGAGAATCATGGTCAAACCAGATAAACAAATTGGCTAACCGTGTCATATATGATACTAAGCATCATATTACCTAATGCAGATATTAGAAACCACTGGAAACCTTCATTAAATTACCATCTGCAATAATCTTTCATTTTTTCTTATCATGTTTCCTCTAATAGCAGATAATTCCTCAGGAACACGGTATAGCTTCATGGCAAACTAGTTGGGATTAGCTATATGAAGCTATTCATCTCTAATAGATCCATTTCATCAAATACTAATCACTTTAGCAATTAAGGCACATTAGCTTCTCGAAACATCACATTTAGCTAGTGTTTGGTCATAGATTTAAAAAATTATCTTCAAATATTAGCTCGGCCTTGAAATTTGATCAGAAGACCAATTTTTGGGTTTTGGGGACTTTCACTCACAAAAGTTCCATTTTTTCCAAGTAAAATGCATGTCCAAACACAACTGAATCAAAAACTCAATATTTTCAAGTTTCACCTTCAAACTCTATTCAAACACACGGAAATCCTGGAGAACAGTGCTATCACAAGACCTAATTTAATGGTAACGAGAACAATGCAATCCTACTTTCTGCAATTGTACTTGCCAAACTGAATACCCAATTTAAAAAATGCAATTTTTATTGAGAAAATCATACATTAACTGCAAGTAAAGAAGTGAAATTGAGATAGACAAACACCTTAGCATCACGATAGTTGATGATGATTTTTCCAGAACCTTCCTGAAGAACAACACGAGCACTAGCACTTTTACGTCTACCAGTTCCAAAAATAGGCTGTGCAGCGAAACCTCCAGGAAGTCTACTTTTCACAAGCTTCAAAAGATTCTCTCTGGTTTCCAATTCCTCCGTCTCCGGTGCTTCAGCAACAGAAGCTGACACTACAAGCGTAGAGATTTTGGAAGCGAGAGAGAAAGAGAATTGCTTCGAATGAGCAAGGGATACAGCATAGGGTTTTTGAGAAATCTGAGAAGAAAATGAAAGGGAAGCAAAAGATGAAGCAAGAGAAGCCACGGAAATCGCCATTTTCGACTCTCTATCTATCTATCTTCTTTCGAAGATTGAGTAATAGATAATGTAAAGGAACAACGGGTAAAGGCCTGTTTGGGTATAACCCAAATGCTTCAAAGACAAATATTCACACATATTATATTTATTATTATTACAAATTACAAAATTGGTTAAACATAAAATCCAAGGGTTAAAAAAAAACATGATCATCGACTTAACATACAAATTGAAATTGAACAGATATGATAAATGATATAACGATTGTGAAATCGAAAATTAAAATTATCAAACTAAAGTTCTCAATGTTGTACCACATTGTACAATTGAAATTTCATCGATAAATCTTTTAACCACTATCTTAGAGTTTCGAATTACACAATGATGACTATTTTTAATAGACAGCGCCAAAAATTGGCTTCATAACAATAATAATAACACATTTTTTAGAATACTTGTAAAGTTGTACCGAAGAACAACACACAATATTGGGTATTTACCATCAGATGGCTATAAACAGGACAAGTACAACTACACAACTAGTTGTTCTGCTAAAAAAAACCAAGTCTTGTACGCGGATGTTTGAAAAGTTCACAACACTGAACGAACAAGTTCAGTATTATAATCATCTCTGTTACGGATCACATTGGTGCTTCCATTTCAGCAGACGGTCTAGCTTAGTTTCTACACTAGATGCTAAACTAATATAGTAAATACGCCTAGATCTTACTAGACCACAGGCTGCCCAGCTTAATTATGGGTCAACGTAAACGATTTCAGCTTGTACAGAAGCTCTCCTGAAGCGTAGCAACTCTTTTAGCATCTCCCATGCACCGTCAACTGAAGCTGGCTTGACTGTCATTCTTTCAAGAACAGGTGAATTTGAAAGCAGAAAATTGACGAAATTTAGCTCTTGTTTAAGCCCAGTTATACCAGCAATCTTAACATGCCTCAATTGATTGAACATACAATTCTGGTAATCCTCTTTCATAACACTGGCAACGGTTCTCAAAGTACTTTGTTCTTCTGTGCGTGCCTACAAAATGATAATGACATGAATGTACAGAGCTTAAAGACAGTTCGGCAGATGCTGTGAAAAGTTTACATGCTGCAAAATAGGTCGGGTACATGAATATTATAGATGCAGTGAAGTATGTTGAAGCCAGTTTATGATTGGTCCTAATGAAGTTCAAGTGATATTTGAAACTCACCAACATCTCAAGCTCTTGTAGGTTAGGGGAACTTCTGAGAAGGCAAAGTGCTGCCAGACACTCATCCAAATGGTTGAAATTTATGCGCATTGAAAGAAAACTTAGCTCATCACAAGGTGTAGGTAGTCTTCCTGGCACTTTATTGTCAGCCAGATACTGCACACATAACAATAATTAGTGTACATTTTCTCCAAAGATTGACAAGGTGTCTCCATTTCAAATATCCAATAAATAATGCAGGGAGATAAACTTGGCAAAGGCATCCATTAGAGAAATTTTACATTGTAGTGAAGAAAATAAGAACAGTAAGGTTCTGTTAGGTTGGCACAGGATATATGATACAACAAGGGAGGAATCTCTTCAAGAGAAAACCCATTCCTAACAATTTTCCAGTGAATTTAGAATGAAGCCAATGACAGTGGTAGGAAGTAGTTGCAAGATGTGATGATGGTGTATTTTGAAATAGTAGATAACACAGAGCAATTACAATTGTGTCAAATAAGGACCTGCGAGTACTAATGGGCAGTGAAAGTTGGAGATTTGTAATAAAATATGAGTTGCACCACAGGACACAAGTCATTTGCACATGGTAGTATTAGATAATTTGACCCTAATGATATTGCATTATGTTAGACAAGCAAATACCGAAAAGTTAAAGATCCAGCTCCATACTTTTGATTATCAAACATCATTTCACACTAAATTTTACAGGAAGCAAATGCTGGGAAGAGAAGTTGCCATCAATTCTTTAGAAATCTACAATCATAGCACAAAAGGTAAGTATGAAGAATACCTTCAAGAAAAAGCTCTGTACTTCAAGCCTTTGAAGACGAGGCAAATGAGCAAAAAACTTGACCAAATTTCCAGCACTGCCTAGAGTAAGATTTTTGTCAAATCCAGGATTTACATATAGCCCAATTAAACGATAGCAAGATTGAATGTGTTCATGAAATTGATGTCTTCAAAGACACCTCCAACATCAAAGAAGAGGAGATTCGGTGCGTGGATTTTAAGATCGGAGAAGCCCTCAAAATTCATCAGTGTAAGCCGCTCAAGTAAATGGCATCTCGACACAAGTTGCTCAAATGCATCCTGTTCCATAGTGATGTGCTGAAGATCGAGGCTTTTCAAGCTTTTAAAACCATTAAATGTGTGAGGTGGTTTTAGAAGACAATTAAAAAGCTCCAAGTGGTTCAACTTTTGACAAAGATATATAGAAGAGTGGAGTTTGTAGCGATGTCCTTTCCATATTTCAAGAATAAACTCCTTCACAGCACCCCTTGATAGAAAGAGAATCCATCTATCAATATCACACACCCCTTGAAGATCCCGATGAGAAAGCTTGAACTTGTGTATGGGACCAGAATGAAGTAAAAGAACATGATCAACAATGTTTACTATCTTATTTTTTATGAAGGTTTGGTCTTGGGATGAGATCAAAAGAGATTGATTGTCAAATACAAGGTTTGGAAGAGTAACCCATTTGTTTCTCCATTTACTTGACAAGACACTTGTCCTCACAGCATCCCTAAGTGACAAATGAGACAGAATCTTGTCGACAATCTGGGCTGGTAAGTTGCTGATATCGTCCACCTCAAGTTCTGCATTGCAAAGGAAATTGGATGGTATATGTTGCTTCTGCATAGTAACAAAGAAGAAGACATTCATCCAAATGAGAAAAATGTGTATTTTTAGTTTATAACATACATACCTGCATACAAGAGTGCTTACAAAAATGCAAAGATGTCAATATGACAACCCAAGAGAGAGAAATTATCATTGTGGTTTACTGAAAAAGAACGGCATAGGATAAGAGCACTCAGAGTTCTGTTTTTCTTCAAAATGATGCTACTATAATTTGTCTCAAGAGAATAGTTACAGATATGCTGGCCAATTTTTAACCAATTATGATCAATGTCTACGATTAAAGTAGTCATTTACTTGGTAATGCTCAAGGGGCGGGAATGGCCATTCGAACTCTTCTGGGAGAGGATTTCATCACAAACACAGATTTAAGGGATGGCTGATCTTTCACATCACCATTTAGCCATTGCAATTATTTTTCCCATTGCACAACGTCATCATGCAATCGAGGCCGAGTGGTTGATGTTGACCACTATAATTGGGCCAGAAATTATAGTAAATTAACTCAAAAGGTAAATGCAGTACTTTACTCTGTCAAGCACTGTAGCACATAAATTGAAAACTAGGGGACTAATTATCGTCAGAAAATGTCGAAAGAAGCACACATCAGTGAGAACAATGAAAGAAAGCAAATTAAATGGTTCATTTTATCACATTACACAGTTACTATGAAAGAAGCACATGACGTACCATTACACTCATTTTTTTGTAAAGAGATTGTAAAAAATGTCATGCCTCAAAGGTCCAAATAAAGCTCTTTTTGAAGATTTTTGCAGCTCCACCTGATTCATATAAAAGGGAAAAATGTACAATAAGCTACCAAGTAGAAAAACTTTTTAGCATCCATAGAGTAACGGAAGACACACCGCCGCTTTGCATATCATTCAACTGTGCTCTTCAATATTATCCGTAAGAACTGCTCACTCCTTCACCAACAAACTCGTATGGTCTAAAAATGTTGTGTAAAATTTGTTAATATGTTGAACTCACCCATCATCAGAAGCAAACACTTTAAATGTGGTTTGAAAACAGATGGTCCAAACTTCAACAATTAGCTAATGTATTCATCACAGAGTCATATAAGAGTTGAACGGATAACTTTTGAAAGAAGTTGTCTAAAAAGAAATTCTTTAAAACCATGAAAACAGAAAATGTGTTTGGATAGTTGGTTTTGAAGATTTGTGAATGGAGATCACCCTAAATAACTTGCTCAAGAAATAGCTTTTCTGAAGACTCCAAAAGAAACACATTTCGCAAAATTTCTTCCAAGATCTCAAAGAAACTTTCAGAACAAACACCTTAGATATTTCTTTATTTAGTAGTAATAGGTGTGTTATGCTTGTTTTTCTACTAATTGAGGCACGGTCTTAAAGTGAATCATTTGATTTTGACACTTAAGTACTTTAAATTCCACTGTTACACTCAATTGATCAACATTTATGGACAATCCCTAACATAAATCGCAGTCAAAAGCTTCCGAGAGGCACTAAATCAGGTAAAATCTTAACCCTGAATAGGTGCTTACACCAATAAAATGAATATCCACACATATCTTGCATATACACTGTGTAACACTTAAACACGGTTAAGTGAAATGCATTTTCACTTAAATTTGCTAATTCTTAAGGTTAACTGTTTATTTAAGCATAACACCCGATGTGGGTAAGTATTTACCATCAATCAGTGGTAGTTAGTCAATAAGCAAAAACTTCTGCTTATCCCAGGAACACACCTAGACAGATGCTTATAACATGGATAACAAAGTGGCGCACCTAAATCACTTTACAGAGAGCAGTGGCAGAAGAAATGAGTGTGGATCAAAACAAGTTTTTTCCCATAGTCCTCATCATGTTTTACAAACTAGCAGAATTTTTTAGCATCCATATAGTAAACAGATTTAGCATCCATATAGTAAACAGAAGGTATACATTCGCTTCACATAAACATTCAAGCCATATATCCTTACTATAATCCAAAAGAACTGCTTATTCCTTCACCACAGAAGTTGTATCTTCTAAAAATGCGGAGTTAGAATCCATTAGTATATTGAATTCATCCATCAATAGATGCAAACACATCAAATGTTGATTTGATGCCCTAATTGCTAATTTCACCAATTGGCTAATGTTATCATTACATAAATTTATAGGAGTTGTTCGGATAACATTTTTTTATAAGGTTTGTTTGGATGATTTTTGAAAACATGCAAAAACT